GCAAACTGAACGATCAAAATCAAGTGTTTGTATGGAAAACTTTTTTATTTGACTTTTTTATTTGATATCTTCACGAAATTTAGCCTGGATTATTGCCTGATGCCGAAGTAATTTTTCTAATCGGATCAGCTGCCATAAAAACCGACCAATCAAAATTTTTGCAAGGAATATTTTGTATTGTTTCGGTGCAACCACTTTAACGTTTTTTTTTTTTTATTTTTTTAAAAATTATTTAGTGCTGTTTTGAACATGCATCGATTGTAGTCCGGACCATTAATACTATTTTTTAAAGTTATGCTAAATATCCATGGTATGTGTAAATAATTTTTTGTAATTTTTTGCTAATAGAGCAACGAAATGTTGTGGTTTAGAGTCTTCTTGGCATCAAATACTTAAAAGTTTTCGCTTTTCGTTTATCTCGTGGTATTAAACAGAAAAAGATCCAGCTACGAGGTCTTATATGATGGTCAATCCACCAGTCCTGAGCGATTTCATTCATATATGGTGAGTGGTCGTCTCAAATATAGACAAACTGTCGTTCCAAATATTTTGTAAGAGAGATAGAATCATTTTGTATAGAAACATTTTTCAATGAAGAAAGTCACTTTACGAGGAAACTTCTATTATTTATTTTGTAAATTTCCATGATGTTTACTTCTGTATTTAGTGCCTAATAGCATAGTTTTTCCTACACGGTCTTCACATATCTATGAACTAATATTCCAGCATACTTGTTCGTAGAGCATAATCCAATGAGGGAGGACTTACTTGTCGCATGCTTATTATTCATTTTATACTCATTAGTGTCATAAACAACGCAGTCAGCAAATAATATGGTGAAGCTATCGGGGAAGTGTGATGGCAAGCTGACAGGATAGGCAGCCAGGCAGCCAAGTGACTGGTAGTATGCGCACAAGCAGCTGCAGCCTTGTAACATATATGAACAGATATGCCACATGTGTAGGTATGTGTGCTTGTGCACGAACTGAAGAAAGTTAATGAGGCATGCGCCATTAGGTATATGCGACAAACGTTTCTTCGGCATACATATTTGCATACACACTCACACACACTTGTATGTATAAACACATGCAGAATAATTACAAATATTAAAGGATGGCATATATGACTTAATAAAGCATTTTACATTGCTTGTTTATTGTTGTTGCTGGCATATACATATGCATTTGATGCAAATTGACTGTGCACTCTCTCAATTGGAAAATGGGAAATGTGCCCAGAACAGCAGAAACATAATTTTTTAATAGCTAGTGTGATTAGTGATTAGTTGTCAAATTTTCGTTTTCTGCAATATATCGATTCAGGCCAAGTATAGGCATAGCATATATGCTATATTCATATAGTACACCATGTCGTATGAACAACACAGAATGTGTAAATCATTTGTATGAATGCTTAGTACAATTGATGTATAACTTGGACCGTGTTTAACTTTTAGAGGAATGTTTTTTATGAAAAACATCTGTGAGTTTTTTTTGTAGAGAGGAAAATGTGGTATTAGAATATCACGTCTTCAAAATTGTAGATTTACTTGCGTAATGCAAAATATCGAAAAATCCCATGTTATATACATGATTTAGGAAAGGTTTAAATTTAAAATAAAAAGCTTGTTTGTATTGGATACTTTTTTTGGGGAATAAACTGAAATATCAGGGGGCGTTTGAAAAAAAAAACAACTTGGAAAACAACGGACAGCCTAATATACTATATATGTATATATGTATGAGAAGAATAACATGTTAGTCCAGGCTTACTGCAAGCTCACACACAAAATTGTGATTTTGGAAAAAAATTTTATCTAAATGAAATGTTTTACAATTTTTAGAACATATTATATTTATATATAATTAATGAATATATACAAACAAGGAAAAAAAATATATATTTTTAGCGAGGAAGGTTTTGTTTTTAATCTATATAAAAGTTTGCCAGTTCGTTTCGTTTATGACGGAACGTATTATACACTTTTTTTTATTATTCTTGCCCTTCTTGGAAGAAAATTATGGTTTCTATTCTAAGTCCGAACTACCGAAACGGATCGGTAAAGAGAGTAGCGCAGAAGTTTAGGATTATTAATGACTTTGAATTAGAATATGTTAGATCTTGCTCATAAACGAGGCAATTTTTGGCCCCCAAAAATATATTTTTCATAATCGTAAAAGTGAAGAGAGTATTTGTTTGAGACAAACATATACAAAATAAGTAGAAATATTGAAAATATTTATTTAAAGTTTAGTATGTTATTTTTTAAGTTGTAGAGTTTTCAAGTTTGCAAAAAAAAATCCACGAATGGTTTCTAAATGAATGGCCACTCTTCTTCTTCCGTTTTATGATATGCTCTTTAAAGTTAAGTTATACATGTGGTACTTCTTAGCAGAGATCTCTGATTCCTTAAGAGTTGGGTTTTTATATCAATAGACAAATACTTTTACCATATAACCAAAGTTGTATATGTCCCTCTCATTTAAATATTGGAAGAGTTCTCGAACAGTTTGGACGACACACCGTGTTACATATTGATGGTTTGAATACCCAAAATGTCGTAGAACTTCCCTTGTTAAAAAAACAGACACAAATGCCTTTGTTCCCCATTTCGTCTTCCAAAAAGCTTTTGTTCTAACACAAGTTTTTATAGTATCGGAACATTTTATATTGTCGTACATATCAACCTTTTGCGCTATGTAAATAGGTCACTTCACAGAGAAACGTTAAAAAATTTAATTTGAATGGTTAGCATGATATAGCCGATATAATTGCCAATCAGTTAAGAAATCATTGCATTGCATCACAACCCACTTGGAGGTTAAAATTTCATCCCACAATCGACCGGTCCGATTTACAGCAAAATTCTAACATTTTCAAACCATTTCGCCTAAGTTCATTAACAAGTTCGAGTATGCCATGCCCGTAGTGACGCCGAGTCTGGATCTATGCGACTTTGTTGATGTAGTTTGCTTTGCGCCCGTAATCCCGAGCAAGCAGCCTCGTTGGACCTGGTTTAGACATTTAATGCGTAACTTTTCGATAATGCCATCTACTACACCACAGCACTGTGATCTCTATTGCTCAGTTTTTTTTATCTAGGATAACTCTGAGATGTTTGAAAAAGCTCGAGAATAAAAAAGTTCTACCGCTTAATTACGGGAGTTTGAATTACAAATTTGTTCAGATTTCTGTTTTCTCCAGATTGACAGTAAAGCCGTGATTCTTGGTCCAATTGGCGGAGATGTCAAGGGTCTGTGAGCCGGGATAGTCGAATAAGATTCTTGGCTGAACAAAAGACTGCTTAAAGTTCTCTGTGTCGAGTAAAAGTATTAACAATAGTAGATAGCTAAAATATTTGATACGGTTCCAGTATTATTTAAGGACTTTTCAATTTGAAGTATATTATAGTTCTAAAAGTGCAACGCTGAATTTTGTAGTGTTCTGAACTTGTTTTCTGTGAAAAAGGAAAGGATCAACCATATTTTAAGTCAGTGCCAAGAAGGCAAACAATTTAGGGTTCGTACTATGACCTTTAAAATGTTAAACTTTTTCGTCTAGAAAACACCATACTTCTAAAATTTGTGCTTTAATTTTACCAGTGCTTATTAACAAGAGCGACTTTTCGTGATATTTTAGCGCTATTAGTTCTCTTGAAAGCTGTAAAATAACAATAATGCTTAGCACTGGTTTCAGAGAGCTTATTGTTACAAAAAAATCCAAAAAAAAAAAAACAGTTTTATTAGACAATTATTATGGTTCAACTAACGTATTATAATTATCCACATATATTTTAGAGTCTGCGAAACAAATACTCATAATTCAAAGATTTATTCTTAGATATCCTAGTATCCAATGTATATGGCTTTTATAAATCGGTCGATTGGATTGACAGTGGCATAAGCAACTTTCACAGACTTATGATACTACAATGTATAGTTTAATAGGTCCCACGCGGAGATAAGCCCTTAAATCCCATTTTCTTTTATGCGTTTAATATGTTCAAATGCGTTTTGATATATCTACCATAAATTTTCATATATCGTACCGATACCCGATAGACAGACAGACAGATCAATTCATTAGCTACATCTATTTAAGCTACAAGCTATTTATAACTGTAGGTACATTTATGTAATTGCCGCAATTACTGTTAATTGCATTCATTCAAATGCCATCCCGATAATATCAAACTAGCTGCGACTTTCATTGCTCTGGGTGCTTACAATACAGCATAATAAAAATGTGAAAAAAAACTGTATTTTGCAATTTTAATTTACAGCTTTCAACGCGCGATAGATAATCCTAAAATGTCAATTACTGCCAATTAATCTTGCTGTTTTTTTTTTTTTATTTTGTTTGGTTTTCAAAAACACAAGCTTACTTTCAACTCATTTTATGGTGATAGCCTTTTTGATGTCCACTTAATACCGCTGTCAATTTGGCTTAATAAATTGTGAAATTTTACAGAAATTTTATATCTATAATACATTTAACTTACTTGTTTCTCTTGTCAATTCACTCTATCTCTCTCCCTCTCTTTGCATGTGCGATTACACCAAATCAACTGAATTAATGGAATCATTGAAAACCCTGGACAATCGTTGGCCACTAATCCACAATGATTAACAACGAAACCGGATGTACGGGAATTTGCTTTTAAACCAAAATCTACAACAACAAAATATTAATAATAATAACAACAACACAAAAAAACCCTAACGACTACAACAACAAATAAATGCGCTTGTCAACATCAATATGTGCGCCACCACCGTTATCGTCCATCTTTCGTATATACACCATTTGTTTACACCATGTCGTATACGTAACATTTCTTTTGCGAAATGCTTTTCACTTGCATGCGCTTGAATGTGCTTTTGTCTGCATTTGATTGACATTTCGTGGCAACCGCTAACGCTATTGTATCGCGTGTTAACTAATACGTATACAAATATGCACAACAATAATAACAACAACGCTAACAACAATTGTAGTGAAAACAAAAGACATCGATGCCGTGGAAGGCAAATCCGTCTCCCTGCCATGTCCGATCAGTGCACCGCTGAGTGACGTTTACATGGTCTTATGGTTCCGCGATAATGCTGGTATACCCTTATATAGGTAAGTGACAAACAGACGCGTGTATTGTGTATAAATGTGAACACAAAGCAGGTGTATGATTAGAGATAATAAACTCACAGCTGCTATAACATTACTATGTGTCGCTTTTCCTTTTGAAATTTCGTTTGTTTTTCAACTTTTCACTTGAACGGTGTGAAAGGTTTAACACTTGCTGTATTTCTCCCCTCTTTGCTTTCCTTTTCTTTGTTATTGCTCGCTACTAATGATGATTTTAATTTGTGCTGCAAGCAAAAGCATTAATAAATGTTTCATACAATTTAAGTAAAAGCGGCGGCGTTGGTGCTTCATAATTGCTGGAAAAAGTGAGAAAGTCACACACGCTACGCTAATGGTAGACTGAATATTACCGCTTTTATGTTGCTATTGCATTGCTTGTTGTGCTCTGTTTTGTTAGAAGAATTCTACACGGCAACTTATTGTTGCTGAAAATTATATTTATCACAATTTTGCGTTGCTTCTTTTACCCACTAGCGTGATTTATTGCCTGACTTACAAGCAACCGAAATTTCCCTTTTGCCATAAGTCAAAATTTCACCTTACCTCTTAGGTTACCGTACTCACACACCCACGTACACTTGCATATACAGCACGCACAACTTTACAAATACTTGCTTAAAGCTGAAAGTATTTATCTATACTAGGGTGAGACAAACAAAAACCATTTTATTTTTTATGACTTTTGAGGCATTAGTTTGTGAAAAAACATAAAAAAATTTAAACGTTAGGTAATAAGATTCAAATTTGAACTTTGACCCCGAATGACTTTTTGAGTTTGTTTGTAGATCGCTAAACTCCATACAAGAATTAGTTTAAATTTTTACTATATAATAATTAGTTCAAATGTATTAAAATGCCACTAATATAAAACGTTAACCTCGGTTGCACCGAAGCTAGAATACCCTTCACAAATAAAATTTTTTTTATACAAGAACTTGAATTTCATTGGTCGTTGCGTATGGCAGCTGCATGTTATTATGAGCCGATCTGACATTGCAGCATTGCCTTGAATTAGAAATTTTATGAAGATATTCTGTCAAAAAGTTCTTCATACATGAACTTAATTATGCTCGCTCAGTTTGTATGGCAAAAATATAATATAGTGTCCGATCTAGCAAATTTCTTCGTTTATTGTAGCGTTGCATTGGACAATATTCCATGCCAAATTTCCAGAAGATATCTTGTCAAATAAAAACGTTTTCGATACATGAACTTGAGTTAGATCGATCAGTTTGTATGGTAGCTATATCCTATAGAGAAGACGAATTGCGAACTTTCAGATCGATATCTCAAAACTAAGGGACGAATATACAGACATACGGACAGACGGAATGACTCAACTCGTCACGCTCGTTACTCTAGCAACATGCTGCTACAGAGTATAATAGTTTTATTCACCTAACGGTTGTTTATATCACCTAAAACTAATCGAGTTGGATTTAGGGTTATGTATATATAAATGATCAGGATGAAGAGACAAGTTGAAAACCGGGTGACTGTCTGTCCGTCTGTTCGTCCGTCCATCCGTCCGTCTGTGCAAGCTGTAACTTGAATAAAAATTGAGATATCTTAATGAAACTTGGTACAAATATTTCTTGGTACCGTAAGACGGTTGGTATTGCAGATGGGCGTAATCGGATCACTGCCACGCCATTTGGTATACAGGATCACATTAGGGAGGGCATCTGCGGTTAAATTTTTTTTAAAAAGTGGGCGTGGTTCCACCCCCTAATAGGTTTAATGTGGATATCTCCTAAATTGCTCAAGCTATAATAACAAAATTCACTGGAAACAAATTTTTTTAGCATCTCTATCGACACGGTGAAATCTTATTTCTGGGATGGTATGAGCTGACTTTAAAGTAATCGTGTTCAAAATTAGATAGTGGGCGTGGCAAAACCGATTTAAATGAATACGGTACATAACATTCTTCTCATATTTCTATGTTATAGTGCTTATACACGCACTATCCATCTGATTCTTTCACTTTCCACTATGCAAATCAAGCAAAATATGTAAAGAAATCTCCAACGAGTATACCGTTTGACTTTGCGAGAGTATAAAATGTTCGGTTACATCCGAACTTAGTCCTTCCTTACTTGTTTTTATATATATTTTGTCGGGTGTCCGACGTTTCCTTCTGGTTATTATAAACTTCGTGTAAAACTAATTCTATAGGCTATTCAGGACATAAAAATATTCCTGTGTATTTACTATATAAGAAATCAAAAATCATAATGCATTACCTGTTAATATTAGTATTTAGAGCTTGAACTTTGACCTGAATCGGACGATATTTTCACCGTATCTAAAGAAAAAAATAAAGATGTTTTTTTGGCCCGCCCTAATGTATTATAAATATAGTATATATGTTACACATGTGTGTTTCACACACGCACTACGTGTTGCGAGATCGTGTGCCGCAACTTTCTGCATGTGGCATGCCACAAATTTTGTCGTAGGTTGACTCCATTTTTTTGTTTTGGAAACGTCAACTAAGTTGAAATCAAGAAAATATTTATTATATCACCACATTGCTGCGGAAAATGCAAAGGAAATTGCACTTCGCCAACTACATACACTTCTAAGCTAAGAGTATACCTATATGCCGTGCATGTGTGTATGCAAGGGTACAACGATTTAAGCGTTGCAACATTTTTGAAGTGCAACGGCACTCAGACACATCTGCATGCATGAATGGTGCAATGAAATACATTGAGAAAAATGTAGTTGAAATTTTCCGAAGTTTTCATCTTCTTTTTCGCCAAATGTGGCGCAAAGATCGAATTTTTTCCTATTATAAAATAATTCATAAAATTATGCAGTCTGTTGTCTGGTAGCTCTTATGTACTTTTCATTATGTGTCTTGTGTGAAAAAGCATTACCGTAAAAAGGACTTTCAATTATGTAGATATATTTCTCTGGAAATTCTGCAAATGTTACTATCCATTAGCATGCATTTTGACGAACCTATATGAAATTATTTTTTAATTATTATTAATTATTTTAATTATACTTTAGTTCAAAATCATACGTATTTATAGTTTCTAGTACCTTTAACTTGCGATTGCGATAAATTTGCAACTTTTTATATAAAAAGCTTGTGGTAAATTATCAAAGTCATCAAGTGGTGTGGTAAGTTATCAAGTGGTGTATGAGATTTGGTCAGCTGGTGGTCGCTTATGACGGCTTTAAAACATGTGATTTTACTCATCACATTGATCAGGATAAAGAGCGATATCGCTGAAAAGTTATTCTTTAAGTTTATATCTCTCCAATAATGTAATAAACCGTTTACTATAAAGCTAAAATGGTTCTACAAATATTATAATCATAGAAATAATTTCCGCCTACTTTTAGTTATAGTTTTTAAAAACAGATCAGCGAGCGTTTGTTAAATAAATAATCAAAATTCAAAAGCACTTAAGTGCTTGAGATTAAGTTTAATAACTATATTTTTACGCAATCAGAATTCAGCGCTCCTTGGTGATAAATAATTCATAAAAATACTCTTTTTTCAAGAAATTTCGTTTCTATTGGCGCTAATGAAATAAACATTTCTTTATAGTTCAATAGCAAGGTAAAATTTAATGTATTTGAAATTGAATTTCAACATCAAATCTTAGAAATTCATACGCCCTATCTGAACAATTTTTTTTAATTTTCATAGTTCTAAAATATGTGCATTCGCGTATATAAAACTATTCAAAATAGCTGACAACAATTATTCCAAATATCAGATGCCTTTAGGCTTTGTTAATATCACTTCATTTGTATCGATTTGGGAATAGTCAGAATGCAACAGACAATGTAAAATATTTTCTACCAAACATATTATTTATTATAAGATATGGAAGCACAAATAAACAATTGCGATAGAATAACAGTTTCCCTTACTTGCTGTTACGACAACAGATTTATATTAACGTGTTCTTTTGTTCAGCTAACTTCAATAAGAGGTCAATTATTTCAATACGCTGTCATAAAATATTTTTCTTATGAAATATGTTTCGCTGAAGCTTTACTTTTAGAAACTTGGTTAGTTCAAAGCATTCCTCAAATGAATGATCACCCTTGCGCCCGTTAAGGCGTCATATTTTCGGTATGCTCTCTTTTTGTGAGATGTTTTTTCGAGCACTCAACCAATAATTATAGGTATATACTTAAATCTCACACACCATTTCACCAATGCGCCAAGAATATCGTTTATACCGTCGAGTTTAATATATGGTAGTTATATATATATATATAGGTATATGATATTTAAGATTTAAATCGCATGTTAAATACTTTATTTGTATATTCCTATTTCGAAGTCATATAATATATTTAATAGTGTATCTATCTCCAATTTAATAATTTTAAGTACTTATTTAATGAATCTTGAATCTGAAGAAAGATCAACATTTTAAAAACATGGTGATAAAATTATGCCAACAGCCACCGAAAGAGGGCAACATATAATAAGAATCAGTCCAACACCATGCCTTCATCCATCTAACCAATACGGGCTTATAATGGTTTATAATTACCAATCATGGATCCACATTGAAGAACAAGTTAAATCGTACTTATTAGATTTTTTATGTCTTAAGTAAGTGAATATTATAAATGAAGAGTGTACTCATACAAACTTCACGATTAACTCGTTACATTTGTAAGAAAATAACTAGGTACACCAAGAAGTCGACAGTCGGAGTTTCAAATCTCAACTGGTGTTCAAAATTATAGCAACAGTTTTCTACCGTCAAACCTTAGTTTTATCTGATCAAATTTGATCGGACTGGTCCATTTAAACTACGAACACAAACCGAAATTATACAAAAAACTTTTCTAACTTGCTACAATATTTTTAATATTCGTGTGAACTTTGATCTCCATATGTTAATTGGTGTGTGTTTGGCAGCTGTTCGTTTACGACGCGAACAGTTTGCATGTCATTTAGTATAAATATATTTATTTTAGTGGCACCAAGCATTCAT